TTCTGGTATACTTAACTTTGACCTTTTCCAGCCGATACAGGAAAAAATTCAAAGCATTCTTTAAATTTGCCATCCTGAAAATTAACGTCAAAAACGACGACGATGTCGTTTTTCCACTTTCCGTTTGGCAAATATTAACGTTAATGTAACCTCATCGTTTCTCAACGATAACAAAAGAATCGTTTATACGCCTTGTCGAAATTGTGCTAATGTAATTTCTTGTCTCCGATTGTGTCATAAACAACGTCATCAAGTTTTTTTGAGTAAAATATAAATTTTCATTGGGGCCTGTATAGGGGTATTATTGGACAAGCAATGTTGGAAAGTCATTTTTGTACTGGTTATAACTTGGAAAACCACATGAGTGCATCTCACAATAGCTGATACATAACAAATAAAATAAAAAAGTAAATATAAATGTTTATTTTCTGTAGATTAATCAGGGATGGACACTAACTTTTTTGCTTGGTAATCCACAGGACTAGTTGAAAAGATTATTTACTAGTCCTTTGTCAATGTAAAGTTCTATAAGATTTCCTGATCAGGAAACATTGCGGTCTACAGCATGAAACATCAAAAGAAGACTTAATATAACTACTTCCATAAAAATATGGTCACGTTATAGGATTTTTTTGACAATTAACATGCAATATATATTATTTAAAGCATTTTTCTAAATTTTAGGAAGTAATATTGTTATTTTATAATCATATTTTTCACAAGTCCAAAGGTCCAGTTAGGTGATTCACTGGTCCTTGCTGAAATCAACTAGTCAAGGACTAGTGTGACCAAGACTCGACCCCTGTTAATTAAATACATTTGTAGTGGAACTTATGTGCATTGGTAATGAATCAGGACATAAAATAGTTTAGTATTTGAAGGGGGCATGGCTATATTTAATCTTGAACTTGCTGCTCAGACATGGAGTTATTTCAAGCACCTTAACACAGGAAAGTTTCTTGTCAGCATTAATTCTGGACTCATCAATTTTGCGGCAAACAAGTGACAAACATATCGCTACATACTCTGGGTTTCTTGACATATTTGAACGATATGATTCGGTCATGGCAGATAGGGGGTTTATATTCGAGAAGAGTTGGGCAGAACTGTTTATTCCTCCAGGGTGTAAGAGAGCTTCCCAAATGTCGAAGAGCTGAAGTGAATCTTACAAAGGCCATTGCAAATCAGAGAATTTACATTGAACATGCAATCAGATGAATAAAAACCTTCAGGATCCTCAAATTTGAGGTACCTCTTACTCTTGCGCACCACTTGGATGATATTGTAAAAGTGGTTGCTGGAATTTATAATATGCATCCATCTCTACCGAAGTATAAGTAAATAGTAATTTTATCAGCAGCACCAGAACCTGTTCCTCAATATATCCCACTATTGCTTTTTCATGATCCTCCAAACTTTCAATGTTTACAAATTAATGTTGTGCTTATTTCAGTCGCTAGTTCACCTGCCCTAGCACTGTGTTGTCAAATATAATCCAGTTTTGATATATGTGAGTCAAACTTTTACTCTTAACATCCACAAAGCTTCAACTCTTCTTTAACAAAAGTACCAGGTATTTTTAGAGCTGTAATAATATATTGATATGTGTATCTCTGTATCACAATATTTTGTTTAGAGAACATGTATCCAGTGATACATGTGTATTTATATTTAATAATTTGTAATTAAAAGTGAAAAATTTGGAACATGAAATTAGTGACATTCTCAGGGTCTATATGCACACTGACACTGCTAGGATCAAATTACAGTGTACTGCAAATATTCCTAAGGATCCCCAATAATTAAATATATTGTGAAACACTTATCAGACATACAACTGTGCGTAGGTGGTGTCTGGTCAATCGTGTCAATAGTTCGGTTGATCTGATAAAAGTAGAAATATGACCAGCACGGAGACCTGGCTCTCCAGATGATTGATCAGGCAAATGGGATCTGGACAGGTCTTTATTAATATTCCAGCCCAAAAAAAGGGAAAATGTACAATTATCTTAATACCTACTGTATCCATCTCTCCCAATACTCTATCTGAACCTTATTGAGTTATTGGTAATACTTGGACATGAAATTGTGCAAATATGGTTAAAATATAAAGCACATTCTATCAAGAGTTCTAATTGAATATCAATTAGGCAAGAATATAATAATATATATATTTTATATATACATGTACATGCAATATAATGTGGCAGTCAAACCAACTGTACATTTTCGACTTGCATACAAAATCTAACCTCATATATTTATTTTTAGGCCTAAACAATGCTTTTATATTTTGCCTAACTTGCAAAGTCTGTACTTTAACTTTCAAACTCTGCCAATAACACTGCACTTTAGACATGCCCATTTACCATCTACACACATGCAAAGTGATACCAAAGATGACAATAATCACATCCAATGCTTTGATCCCCATATTTCTGTATGCTGTGTCCTTCCTTTATTACATGCTTTTAATTACATACAGGGCAGAAATGTGTTGTAACAGGGGCATGATCAATGTCCATTGCCTCTGACATGACCGGCAGATCTGTGTTTTTCATTTTGATTTTTCAAAAGCCTTAATTGAAAAAAATTCAGGCACTACAAACTTCACATAAAACAATATAAAGCTGTCAAGTACTTGCAAATAGTAGGGAGCTGTCAAAAAAATCATTTCTGTGTGTTTGCCAAATAATTACATGTGTATACAATTTGCTACATATAAAAGTCACAACCCTTTCTCCCTGTGATGGAAAGCTGCCCTTAGATTTGCCAAAAATATAGAGCCATAAATAGACTTGAAGCTTACAAGAGCAGAGCCTTGAACACTTAGCACATTTTGTAACAAGGAGACATTTTATTTCTACAACACCATCCCCACAGCACTCACAAGTGACCAACAGGTCTGGACTTGCTCCTAAATGAAAGTGATTCTGGCCAAGGAATGGACACTTTACTATAAAAAGACTTCAACATTTCTTTCTTGTAGGATTGTTAGGCCTCTGGTCCCAGTTCCCTGGCAATAGATTTTATATTCGGGTGATTTTTTTATACTCCAACAAATTGCACAATAAAGGTTCCATATTTGTCACAAGATAACTTCTAAGAGCATGTACAATACACTAAGACTGAGGTCAATTTCAAGTTTGACTGAAACCTGCTATTGTTTATTGAGTCATCACAATCGTATTTAATGTCCTAGTCTAAGGGAGATAATTGATATATTTTTAAACCATAAAACTGTTTCCTTGATATTTGAATGTGCCCAGTCTATTACACATAATTGACAAGAGTGTTATGTACAGGACAATATTTATAAGGAGTGCTTTATATTATTTATCACTAATTAAAATAGTTTTCATAGCAAATAATATATTTTTAGAAAATGTATATATTTGTATTGTCCATATTGGGGTATGACTCGCTGTTTATTATTTAGTTTGCATTCAAAAAGATAAATATAATGTTAACTAATGCTTTCATTTAAACATTACACAATCACCTACAGGTATCAAGTTGTTTTGGTTTCATAGCCGATTTTACTGCTCCATTTTCCTTACAACAGCAAACCCACACTGTATGTGAGTCGCCTTTTACTTTCTGTGACAACACGGTGTACATTTGGCTGACAAAATACAGCCGATGCAGTTGATGTGGAATGGTAGTAAACTTCCTGAAAGTGACCAGACTGAAAAATACTCATATCTTATGTTATACTCCACAGAGACCAACATGGCTTTAATGCGGTCAGAACCCTTATTTACACGTCACGCTTAGATTTACGTCTTGTCTGTACTGTAATAGGCCTATTCACGCATCACAGGGCCCTGACACATCACGATTGTTTGGTTGTAATACCTAATTATATCTTAAATTGACAGACGAGGCCTGTTTCAATTCTTAAAACTAAATGTTCGCCATCGTTAATATTTTACCTATTGAGAACCACAAGCAAGGATATCCATAACATCTGGTGTTTAAAGTGAAACCCTTGTAATACTATCAAGTTTATAAAGACCACGAGTTTGGTTGTACCATTTCATCATAATTACTTTTTATTTTTTAAGGTGAGAAGGTAAATGATCCTCGTCACCCAGATTATGTGCCTTCTGTTTTCCCCCACAAATTAATGAAAACAGTTGCTATCAGTCAGCATCATCGAAGTCTACAGGAAAGATGGACCGCTATCAGAGGGTCATGAAGAGAACAGCTAACACAGGTTCAGGTTTGTCATATTATTACATATCAATGAAATATTATTGATATTTGCCAATGATTTAACATGTGATTTCTTAAAATCAATGATGAAAATTATTGAAAAAAATGGTTGGATCACAATCAACAAAGAAATAAGGGAACTTTTCATAAATGTTTAAAGAGTAAGCACAAGTTCAAAAAATGATGTTCAGTTACCCTATCACTACTTATTAGTCAATAGCTTGTGACTTTTGTGTTTAGATTTAATATCAACACAGGCCATTTACTGGGTTTTTTTTCTCTCTCCATATTTAGGTGTATCACAGGTAAGGAAGAAACTAAAATTGAACAACCCAGTTCCTGAGACCAACAATCAAGATGAAAGGCCACCAAATCAGTCAGAACTTACTGATCCAACACCCATGAACAATGCTGATGAAGAAGATAATGAGGTATCGTTCTCCACAATGTCACCATCAGAAAGTGATCATGAGTCTACACACAAGACTGTACCTGAAACACCGATGCAAAGATCAATGGAGCCATCTGAGAGGGAAATGTTATACACAGAAATTGATAACTTGAGGCATGAACGGGATGAGGCCCTTGAACAAGTAAAATCCCTCGAGCAACTTATAAGTGCATCTTCCTTGTCATCAGGTAGTGTGGAGGGAAATGATAATGCATGCAAAAACATGATTGGGATAAGTTGGGGAACATTTTTGAAACTTTTCCTTTTTCTGAGTGCTTTTACAAAATCAACCAACAACAACATACCATTAAAGGAACAGTTATTCTTAACACTTGTCAAACTAAGGCATAATTTATCATTTGATTTCATTGTTCATGTGAAAGGAATTCCAAAAACAACGATGCTGGATTACTTCTGGAAGTGGATTGACTTGCTCCATGCCAAAATAGAGTTTTTAGTGAAATGGCAAGATAGGGAAACAATTTTCAAAACAATTCCTCCTGTGTTTAAGCAGAAATGCCCTCGTTTAACATCGATAATAGATTGTTTTGAAATTTTTATGGAGGCTACTAGAAGTTTATTGGCAAGAGCACAGTTTTACAGTAGTTATAAGAGACATACAACAGTGAAAGTATTTATCTCTTGCAGTCCACTAGGTGCAATCAACTTTTTATCAAAAGCATGGGGAGGTCGTGTTTCGGATGTACAAATTGTGCGCGATTCAAACTTCATTGATACAAAATATCATATGCCTGGTGATCAAATTTTAGCTGATCGTGGGTTCACTTTATCTGAGGATTTTGCTGCAAAATGCAGTGCAGAACTCATTACTCCAGCTTACACTAAAGGAAAGAAAATTTTGTCTGCCTCTGAAGTTGAGTTATCCAGAAAAATTTCTTCTGTGAGAATTCACATTTGAACGAGTTATAGGACTGATGAAGAACAGGTTTACCATATTAAAAGGATCAATGCCAGTGCGCTGTGTACAGAGTTTGAAAGATGAAAGTTTCCAATCTCCTGTATCAAGTTGTGATAAATTGATAACTGTTTGTGCTGCTTTAACCAATACGGGTCAAAGCATTGTGTACAAAGAGTAATTATAACTGAACATTGTCATATTGAACAGTCACATTTTTGTTGAGAAATTCAGATGAATTTGTTTGCAGTTATCTTTGGCAAGATAAAATTAGTCAATGCTTTTAAGTGATAATTACTTTGAGACTTTCATATAATCAAAGTATCCTGTTATCAATGACTTTCTATATTATATCCAATCAAAACACTGCTTGAAGTTCGCTCCAAATCAACTTCCTTGATAAATATTTATGATGTTCATACTATAGATATTGTATAATGTTTAAAGTCTCATGACTTTCAGTGTTCCTCCACCATCACCATGTATACGTAGCAGTCAACAAATAGCTGTGCTATGATATATGATGATTGCCTCGTAACTAATCAGTATCAATATTAATAAATGTACAGTAATGAAAAACATGGATTCATGAGTTGCTTCTCCTCTATTTCATTTAGATAGTTTTTCTTTGTTTTTCTATATCATTTAGATAGGTTTTCTTTGTTTTGTCTCATCATTTGGAGTGGTTGCATTGCAATCCTTATAATTACACGGCGGAAGACAAATTAGAATGAAAAGAACTCGTTTCATATTCAATCAGGGACCAGCTGTTCAAAAGGTGTGGGCTGAGTCAATATTTCACAACATTTTTCAACATCTAATAATTTGGGCTACATATATGTACGAGGTAAAAACTCGTAATATTACTCTATTATAATATTTAGTTGCTTTCTATAAAGTTTAACTTATTCAATGTTTGTATTTTCAAGATACACAAAATGTTGAATGTGCCCTTATTATAATCACCTTTTGAATAACTGGACCCAAGTATAATAAATAACATTAAAGGACTGACCATGCTGTCAAGAAAATATGACACAAGTATAAAACTGAGTCTTCTGTTTTAATGTATAAAAGGTATTCACAGAAGAAACAAAACAAAAAGAATTATGCAAATTATTTAATAATGTATTATGATCGTTACTCAACCCCCCCCCAATATTCAATATATTAAGTAACATCAATAAAATAAATATAATTTATATCTGCAACTAATATCAGCAAATTGCATCACTACCACTATAGCTACTATCAGGTTTGAATTCTCACATCCCAGCCACTACTATCAAGTTCTCATAATTGCAACATTTCCACTATTATCAGGATCAGGCATCAGGCATCAGGCATCACTATATATGTATAGTACCACATTTATTTCAAGTTCTTTCACCCGTCACTATATTCACTATATGATTCGTTTCATATTCCCTCTCATGTTCTTGCTAATTATAAAATATCGTATATATTAAGTAAATTAAATAATTACTATTTCACATTGACTTGTTATAGTCAAGCTTTGACAATATAAATATGTTTCATATTGATCAACTTCAATAATTACAAATAACTATCAAGATACATATCGTATCCTCAAAACCCTTGCGATACACAGCACTAACCAATAATTTTACATGACATAATATATCACATTTATTTCTTCTTCTTTTGCCGACGACATTTTGGACAATACCAAGTTTTTGCTTTCGGGAGTCTCTTTAATTTCAAACAGGATGGATGGAACCAGTCATTGCATCTATCACATCCCACCATGTCCACATTGTCATTTTTGGTTTTGCAAACACAGAATGTTTTGTCATTGTTATTGATGGTGATTCTGTTGGATGGAGATAGGATTCCACTGCTGTTTTCCACTTTTCTTGTTAATAACTCCGGTAAAACCACAAGTTTCCAAAAGTTCTGAAGTTTTTCAATCATAGCATTGATGAAGTTATTGTCCCTTTGAACACGGGTGATGACACGATCAATCGGACTCCAAACCACAAAGTCGGTGTAGTCACCATCACAAACGAACATCTGAAGTTGTACTTGCGCAAAGTACTTGTGGGTTTTCTTCAAACTGAAGGTGTCGTCTATACAGAAAGTATTGTCCTTCAAAGCCTCTTTTACTTTCGTGTCTCTTATTTTGTATGGGCACTTGATTTCCAGAAGGCCTTTCCCACAACACTCACAAAATGTATGGCCATCTGGTGAAGCTCCAAGAAAAGGTTTCTTCACAGATATCACAAATCCGGCCTTCTTCACGTTCAGTGACAAATGATCTTGAGTATTTTTCAGGATTATTTCTCCTTTTGGACAAATGTTTAGCTCAGTTTTCTCTACTTTGTTCATGACCTTATACAGCTTAAATGCATCCTCTTCATGAAGTTTCCCCCAATTCAGGGCAGGCACATCAGGTGAAGATGTACTTGGTATGCATATCTTTTTCAAAAGGGAAAGTGATGGTTGAGAAACAGAAGTGTGCATTACCTCCCCTGCCACTGAAGCTGTTATGCGACCAGATCGCTGATGATGCCAGGTTAATGAACTTGATTGGCTCTGGGTGATGTCTTCAACATAGTTCACTTGTTCATCAGAAATTTTCATGTTATCAAATGTTGTTTGGGATAATTCCAAGAGATCTTCATTAGACAATGCATTGTTCTTTTCGTTGTAGATATTTCTAAGAGGTGATGGGATTTTATTCTCCTCAGGTGGCGGTCCAAGTCCAACGAAATTCTCACCATACTCCTTAAATGCACTAAGACCCACTAAATTCTCATCCAGAGTGTTCAAAGATCTTAAAAAGTCCTGTTGCTCTACATCTGTTGCTGGTGCTAGGGCTTTCTTGTTTCTGTTCTTTTTCACTAGTGTATCTTTTGCCGATTGATTGTAAAACTTGATATCTGCAATGGGTGCCGGCTGAACATTCTTAGTAAAACACTGGTTCCAGACACAGGAGACATCTGTACAGGCAGACCTAGTATATCCAAGACGAACAGCTGCTTCCATCTTGAATAAGAGAGCACCAATGTGTGAACATGTCTCTCCAAGTCTATAAAAACAAACAAACCAAATATATATACATAATAAATGATAAACAACCAATGAACTTTTTAAAAATATGAGCATAACAATTTAGATGATGATCATAGAATACAACAAAATATTGACATGTTACTTTTGTATTCATATCGTTACATAAAACCAAACTAAAATCTTGATTTAACACAGAACCATTAAAAGCCTCAACTCTTAATTTGTAAGTACTGAAAATTGTCAATCACATTTTCTAACTCAAATCACTGTGGTGAATTTGTTTCCATTTGTGAGACCTGCATGGTATTCTACAGAAAATTTACAGTGACAATTGCACTCCATCAAGGAAATCTGTCACTTAATGGAAGATGATGATGATGAAAAATTGGGTGGATTTGTTTCCATTTGTGACACCTGAACAGTATTCTACAAAAAAAAAATAGTTCCACTTACCCTGCCATACAGTCGCAATGGGCAGCAATAACAGGTCCATCTCTCTTTAAGGCAACCCAAGGGTGATGAGGCTCATCAGTCACTCTCTATGATGGTTTTACGTCTGCCTTCGTAATCAAATGTCCACTGCTTGTTTTTCTATGGAGGACTGTCTGCACCCATCCAGATACAAAGAATACATGGGCATCAAGGGATCTGTAATTTTCCATAGCCTCTGATGAATATACACCTGTATAAAAGAAGTGATTAAATTATTACACATGAAGGAATCATATACAGCTTAAACTAAGCATTTCTGTGGCAATTGAATTAAAATAATACTTAAACACCCTTTATCAATTATAAAATGTGTACTGCAGTACCCATGAAATTTTGGTCATAAAGCTTAAGTGCTTCTTAAAATTGATAGTGGGAAGATCACCAATGGCCAAACAGCTCAGCAGACCATTACCTTGTGTCACTAGTGTTTATCAATTTTAAGAAGCACTTAAGCTTTATGACCAAAATTTCATGGGTACTGTTTTTTATATATGTATACAAATAATCTTATTTTATTTTGTCTAAATAAAGCCTTAAAAGTTTGTTTCTGGTGTAACTCAATTTCAAGCCCTTGGAGATTTATTATACATTACAAAATTTTACAGTAGAGATTGACTTAAACCATTTCTCAAAGTGCAGTCTGAAATGTATATATTCAATACAGTCTGGTCAGCACAAATAATACATAAAATGCCCGTGACATGTGGAAGGTGAGTCACTGTGCCAAAAATAGAATATTTGATCCGGAATCAAATACATACCTTAGCCATCATTTACGTTAAAACGAAAATCTTACATTTCTCCCCTACGTTTTTGTTTAACAGATGATTGAGCGATTATCTGTTAGTGCTTCGATACGATAAATTGCAAAAGGCTTAATACTCACGTGGAAATTTGATGAGGTAATTGTAAACATCGTTGTACTCCAATGGTGGCCATTGGTTCGGGTCATTGATCCAGGTGTCGGCGGGGACCTTGTAGGGGCATATATCTTCACCAATGATGTGTAATTTTTCTATATACATTCCCTTAGCATCTGGTGGTAACTCTTCTTGATATCCAAATGACATGATGCGATGATAACATAACTTGTCGTGAAATAATCGCAAATAAATATCGGACTAACAGTAAAATATAAATCTCCCCAGTTTACCCCCAAACAAAGATGGCGGAGCGGTTGTGAAGTTTTGTCACGTGACTGTGACGTCATGCCGACATCGAAGGGACTTCAATTGTGACCACAGTCCTATAGGCTACATCAGGTGGCGCAAAAATAAAAGCAGAGCTAAAATTGCACAGTTTCGAAGAATAAAAAACAATATAACATGAATGACTCATGATCCTTGCAAAGTGTGTTTCCAATACGGCCGCCATTTTGAAAAACTTTTTCAAACTTATAGTCAAGCTCTACTGGGCTGATTTGACTGAAACTTGGTAGGAATGATTGACTCATGTTCCTGGCAAGGTGTTCTTTTATTTTTGGGGGCCGATCAAAAATCCGATATTGCCGCCATTTTGGAAAAAAAACTATTTCAAACTTAAAACCAAGTTCTGATAGGGCGATTTAAGTGAAAATCAGTTTAGGAATGATCAACTCATGGTCCTGACAAACTTAACTATTTATTTACTCAAATTGGTAGGAATGATTGACATCATTATCTCCACTTCATATTTCAACAACAAAAATAAATACTGTAGGAGTCAGGTGACCGTTATGGCCAAAGGGCATATTGTTTTGAATAAAAGCTTCTCCTTAATCTATTTTGTATATAAGTTTTAGTCTTAGCGCCGGAGGAGGGGGAGGGTATTGGAGGGAAACTCCTTCTCCCATAGCTGGAAAAAAATCAACTAGGCCCTCGAGGCAATCTCCCGTGTTCTGGGAACTCCTTTTAGTTTGATTATTAACAACTATACATGACTTTTAATATAAATAATATTATATTTTGTACTTCACTAAGTAGATTTCTAGTCTTGTTTTTGATTTACGTAAACCTTCGAGATGTGTCCATGTGTATATAGACATGTCATAACAAAATTATTTTATCACACTAAAATTTTCAAGACTTTTATTTATTTTTCCCTTTTTTATGATTGATACGGACAGTCCAAATTGATCATTAAAAAATAAGAAATTAAAAAAATATATGATTAAAATAAAATGTTCAGTGTAGAAACTGTAATATTAACCATAATTATGCTACGCTACTGGCTAGGTATTCCATTTTTCTTAAGGTCGTTTCATTTTTCTCGCGTCATTTTACTCGTATAGTGCAGATGTAAAGCTAAGCTTGTTAGGTTAATATTATAGTTTCTACACTGAAAATACAACTTGGTTTAGCCATACGAACGTCCCTCCCTCTCTAAAGATAACCGTAATTACCATATGCATGTGGACGTATGTATCTAGATCTCAAGATGGCGACCGACTCATGCTTCTTATGTCTACAAGTCTCGTTTTAGTACAGCACTTCAGACTTTATCTTTTACGCTGCATCTGTCTGTACGATATAACAACAGTGCCGAAACGCATTTACTGAATTTCTTTTTACTTCGCGTACGAGTGATCTCCCATTGAACGTACACTGCTATTTCAGACCACGTGCAGTTTCCTCAAGTAATACAAAATATATTATTTCACTTCAACTTTATAACAGCGCATATGAATGGATGATAATGATCACATGATAGGATAATAAAACATCATGTCGTCCTCTCTCGCTCGAGGTTCCCCGATTTCATTTTCCTTATTCGAAGCATCTAAAGACAACAACAATGTCATGGTGGGGACATTTTCATACAAAGTGGTTTATGTGCGATGAATCGTTTCAAGACGGGTTTATCGTTTCCCGGTCTCTGTAGAGGTAACATTTTGAATAAGTTTTCACACCACTTAATTGTTCCAGTATTGGTCATCAGGAAGCACAGGCACAACTTGCTTAAAGAAAGTAACAAGCCCCAATACTGATTTGTCGAAATATAACTTCTTCAAGAGAAAAAGAAAAAAGAAAAAAATATCCTGTTTAACAAAAATATCATTATCTGTAATCTGTTTTGCTGTTATGTTTTATAGATTTTACAAATTGAGATTTAACACAAGAGCCATATATATCGAGCAGAGTACAAGTGCTGTTGTTACTATTGTAGGTATGCGCTTATGTACATGTAATTGTAAGAACTAAATATCGAGAAAAACATACAGATTGCTCGTTATGTATGTCACCAGAAGGAACCTACTTGCTTACCTAATATATATCATCCAGAAATGTCACGTTAAAAAAATGGGTTTCCTGTCAAAGTTGGCGGTTGTGGTCTACTGAAATGGATCATACGTGTACGTGATGTTATTATTGAAAAAGCATAGGGTATGAATATGAGGAAGAGATATTGTCTATGTAGTTCAACCACGAAATCAAGCTTTTATCACCTCTGTTTGATGAATCCAACCACTCCGCCACCACCGCTCGCTCCTCTTTTGACGCAGTCATTTCAAAAATGAAGGATATTGTTGCCGACCTCAGGAACTGTCTCATTGGACAAACACTCTTTAATGTCGATACAGGAACAGATATTTATATTCTATAAAAATAATCATGTAATTATACCCCCCGCAACGAAGTAAATGGGGGTATACTGGAACCAGTTTGCCTGTCTGTCTGTCAGTCTGTCAGTAGAACAATTTTGCCCGGACATCTCCTTCTAAAGTTATGGATTGGTTTCAACGAAACATTCCAGATATGATAACTACCACCTGAAGTTGTGCAACCAGGTATAATTTTTTATTCTGACTTTTTTAACGGAGTTATTGCCCTTTGTTGAAAAATGCTTTCCCTCACAACTTCTCCAAAACTTCTTTGCCGATTTCAACGAAAGTTTTTCACATATGATAACTATTTGGTATGGGAGGGAGTACAGGCAGTATGTCATTGACCAGTATACTTAAATAAGTCTACAGCTCAGTCAATAAAGAAATCATTACTGGTGGGAGACCATGGATTGATTTGCAATGCTTTGCCTTAGTAAGCCTTTAGCTTACAGTTCTGGTTTATATAGTAGCGGGGGTATTAGTTAGCCTTTGGCTAACAGTTCTAGTTCGGTTTGGAATACAAGCCCAATGAAATTATTTCGAACATGGGAATGGAAAAGGACCGTACGATGATTTAGGTGGAACCACCTGTGTGACCAAGCACATGCCTGACGAGTCCATTCGTCACAGCAAGGCTGTCAATTGGGACGCAAAAGAGTTTTATAAATGGGCTACAAATTCAAAAATAAAGAAAGGAATGATAGATATTCCAGCGATATCGCTCAAGAACACCATGAATTAAAATACGATTATCGGGACTTCTGAATTTCGGGACTGTAACACTTGGAATGAGGCGCCGACATGTGTCTACGGAAAGGTAATTGTCAGGACCGAGAAGAGTCAAGTGGAAGCTCATCAGAAGGTTCAATAAGATGTTCGTGTCGAGGTGGTTCTAGCCGATGTAGATCATTTCTTGATGGGATGAAATGAACTTTCCGCAACACTTCTCTTCGTTCTTTTTCAGATGTTTCCGTGTAAAATTTTCTTTTGTTCAAATTTTGCCATAGTTTTATCGATTTTGGCAGACCCTTAGAAATCTCAAAAACTGTTACCAAAACAACACATTACTGACTAGAAAATTACCACCAAAACTTGGTACACAGATTACACCCTGTGATCGGTGTCTGCTCATTCGAGTGAAAATATCTCCACCACCAAACGGATATACAGTACACGCCGTGAAAACCAACTGTAAACAAATGTCAGTCGGTCATCAAGTAGATAACACGGGGATTTGTATGTCAAAGTTGTCGCGTCATTGAGTCTCAGCCATAGGTATATACCACCGTAAAATACGGGGGAAACCAGTAACCGATCGCGAGTAGTGATGGTTTTTTAGATTGATCGGGAAAGTCTTCAGTAAAACGTTATACGGGAACGGAGGGTAACTCCGGATCTAACATGGATGCTCGTCCTCAGCAAACGTCTTCTCTCGTTTTCTATGTGAATGGGAAAAAGGTGAGTTTGGGTTTCTTATTGTTAGTATATATAAAAGAAATTTAATCTCATAAATGAATTGTACACGTATGCTTTTTCCAGTCACGTAATATTCTTTATCGCTTTAAAGGAAGTCGGCAGTCTTTCATGTTTTCTTTGAGATATTATCAAACATTTTGCAGATATACATTCCGGTAAAACTGGTTTCGATATACTTGTTTAATGAGTTTACTCGTCAGTGACGGTATCTTTATCTTACACGGAGAAGGGTGTTGAAGGGAAATTACCCATTAAATAAATTAATTAAATAAACTTATATGATCTGAGTTTGGTTTGTGTAGAATGTCTTCATTTTCAATTATCTAAAATGTTTAGAAAAACAACGACAAAGTAAATTTTGTCGTTGTTGTCCACAGCAACCAACAAACGTTAAACACGCGCAACTCTTTCCGGATATTCTTGACTTGTCAATAAGGACCATTTACACCATAACACATAGGCAGTAGACCGAATCGCTTGTACCCCAGACATCAACCGAGAACATCCCCTGCTTTGTCGTTATCAGATCTTTGTCAAAAACGTTTGTTGTTTGATCCAAGGAAAGAGAAAATCAACCACAAAACTGCTAAATTTCCTTTTCAGTACAGCCCTCTACTCCGTCTACTCTTTGTTAGTTTCCAGTAACGCCCTCTACTCCGTCTACTCTTTGTTACTTTTCAGTAAAGCCCTCTACTCCGTCAAGTCTTTGTTACTTTTCAGTAAAGCCCTCTACTCTTTGTTACTTTTCAGTACAGCCCTTTACTCCGTCTAGTCTTTGTTACTTTTCAGTAAAGCCCTCTACTCCGTCTAGTCTTTGTTACTTTCCAGTAAAGCCCTCTACTCCGTCTAGTCTTTGTTACTTTCCAGTAAAGCCCTCTACTCCGTCTAGTCTTTGTTACTTTCAAGTAAAGCCCTCTACTCCGTCTTGTCTTTGTTACTTTCCAGTAAAGCCCTCTACTCCGTCTAGTCTTTGTTACTTTCCAGTAAAGCCCTCTACTCCGTCTAGTCTTTGTTACTTTTCAGTAAAGCCCTCTTCTCCGTCTAGTCTTTGTTGCTTCCACTGGTAGCAAATGTCAGCTGCGTCTTTCCATAATTTGCCACGAGAACATCATTAGATGTAATGATTGTTTTTTTGAGGCGTAAGGACAGGATGTTTACTGCTAGTAGTGTATATTTTGTGTCATAATTTGATGTCGACAGATACACATAAACAAGATATATGTCACTATCATATACATTGTAAAACTATTCATGAGCCAATGATTTGCGGAGCAATACACTTTCAAGTATTTTGGGGACCTATAAAGGGTTAATATTTTTTTTTATTTTATTTTTATTCAATTAGAACAATAATGAAACAAATAAATCATATCACTCTCTCTTGTTAGCCGGAATGGAAGTGCGCAGAGTTTGTTGATGTGGAAAGAAACCTGAGTACCCAGAGAAAACCCATACGTGGTCGGGCAGGTGACCTCATACTTATTCACGTCCGATCGGGGAATCCATCCCTGGCCGTCTTGTTAAAGAGCAATTACGCTATCCACTGCAACCTCTCCAAATAGGGTTAACTTCTGCTGTCGGATATTTGATCCGAAGACAGTTCAGAACCGTGTATAACCTGACTTGAAAACTTGCTGTACAGATATAGCCTGACCTTAAAACTGGCTGTACCAATATAGCATGACCTTAAAACTGTCTGTACAAATATAGCCTGACCTAAAACTGGCTGTACCAATATAGCCTGACCTTAAAACTGGCAGTACCAATATAGCATGACATGAAAACTGGCTGTACCAATATAGCATGTCCAGAAAACTGGCTGTACCAATATCACATGACCTGAAAACTGGCAATGCCAATATAGCCTGACATGAAAACTGGCTGTACCAATATCACATGACCTGAAAACTGGCAATGCCAATATAGCCTGACATGAAAATTGGCTGTACCAATATAGCATGACCTGAAAACTGGCTGTACCAATATCGCATGACCTGAAAACTGGCAATACCAATATAGCCTGACATGAAAACTGGCTGTACCAATATAGCATGACCTTAAAACTGGCTGTACCAATATAGCATGACCTGAAAACTGGCTGTACCAATATAGCATGACCTGAAAACTGGCTGTACCAATATAGCATGACCTGAAAACTGGCTGTACCAATATAACATGACCTGAAAACTGGCTGTACCAATATAGCCTGACAGGAAAACTGGCTGTACCAATATAGCATGACCTGAAAACTGGCTGTACCAATATAGCATGACCTGAAAACTGGCTGTACCAATATAACATGTCCTGAAAACTGGCAGTACCAATATAGCCTGACAGGAAAACTGGCTGTACCAATATAGCATGACCTGAAAACTGGCTGCACCAATATAGCATGACCTGAAAACTGGCAGTACCAATATAGCATGACCTTAAAACTGGCTGTACCAATAAAGCATGACCTGAAAACTGGCTGCACCAATATAGCATGTCCTGAAAACTGGCAATACCAATATAGCCTGACCTGAAAACTGGCTGTACCAATATAACATGACCTGAAAACTGGCTGTACCAATATAGCCTGACAGGAAAACTGGCTGTACCAATATAGCATGACCTGAAAACTGGCTGTACCAATATAGCATGACCTGAAAACTGGCTGTACCAATATAGCATGACCTGAAAACTGGCTGTACCAATATAGCATGACCTGAAAACTGGCTGTACCAATATAGCATGACCTGAAAACTGGCTGTACCAATATAGCATGACCTGAAAACTGGCTGTACCAATATAGCATGACCTGAAAACTGGCTGTACCAATATAGCATGACCTGAAAACTGGCTGTACCAATATAGCCTGACCTGAAAACTGGCTGTACCAATATAACATGACCTGAAAACTGGCTGTACCAATATAGCCTGACAGGAAAACTGGCTGTACCAATATAGCATGACCTGAAAACTGGCTGTACCAATATAGCATGACCTGAAAACTGGCTGTACCAATATAGCATGACCTGAAAACTGGCTGTACCAATATAGCATGACCTGAAAACTGGCTGTACCAATATAGCATGACCTGAAAACTGGCTGTACCAATATAGCATGACCTGAAAACTGGCTGTACCAATATAGCATGACCTGAAAACTGGCTGTACCAATATAGCATGACCTGAAAACTGGCTGTACCAATATAGCATGACCTGAAAACTGGCTGTACCAATATAGCATGACCTGAAAACTGGCTGTACCAATATAGCATGACCTGAAAACTGGCTGTACCAATATAGCATGACCTGAAAACTGGCTGTACCAATATAGCATGACCTGAAAACTGGCTGTACCAATATAGCCTGACCTGAAAACTGGCTGTACCAATATAACATGACCTGAAAACTGGCTGTACCAATATAGCCTGACAGGAAAACTGGCTGTACCAATATAGCATGACCTGAAAACTGGCTGTACCAATATAGCATGACCTGAAAACTGGCAGTACCAATATAGCATGACCTGAAAACTGGCTGTACCAATATAGCATGACCTGAAAACTGGCTGTACCAATATAGCATGACCTGAAAACTGGCTGTACCAATATAGCATGACCTGAAAACTGGCTGTACCAATATAGCATGACCTGAAAACTGGCTGTACCAATATAGCATGACCTGAAAACTGGCTGTACCAATATAGCATGACCTGAAAACTGGCTGTACCAATATAGCATGACCTGAAAACTGGCTGTACCAATATAGCATGACCTGAAAACTGGCTGTACCAATATAGCATGACCTGAAAACTGGCTGTACCAATATAGCATGACCTGAAAACTGGCTGTACCAATATAGCATGACCTGAAAACTGGCTGTACCAATATAGCATGACCTGAAAACTGGCTGTACCAATATAGCATGACCTGAAAACTGGCTGTACCAATATAGCATGACCTGAAAACTGGCTGTACCAATATAGCATGACCTGAAAACTGGCTGCACCAATATAGCATGACCTGAAAACTGGCAATACCAATATAGCCTGACCTGAAAACTGGCTGTACCAATATAACATGACCTGAAAACTGGCTGTACCAATATAGCCTGACATGAAAACTGGCTGTACCAATATAGCATGACCTGAAAACTGGCTGTACCAATATAGCATGACCTGAAAACTGGCTGTACCAATATAGCATGACCTGAAAACTGGCTGTACCAATATAGCATGACCTGAAAACTGGCTGTACCAATATAGCATGACCTGAAAACTGGCTGTACCAATATAGCATGACCTGAAAACTGGCTGTACCAATATAGCATGACCTGAAAACTGGCTGTACCAATATAGCATGACCTGAAAACTGGCTGTACCAATATAGCCTGACCTGAAAACTGGCTGTACCAATATAACATGACCTGAAAACTGGCTGTACCAATATAGCCTGACAGGAAAACTGGCTGTACCAATATAGCATGACCTGAAAACTGGCTGTACCAATATAGCATGACCTGAAAACTGGCAGTACCAATATAGCATGACCTGAAAACTGGCAATACCAATATAGCCTGACCTGAAAACTGGCTGTACCAATATAACATGACCTGAAAACTGGCTGTACCAATATAGCCTGACAGGAAAACTGGCTGTACCAATATAGCATGACCTGAAAACTGGCTGTACCAATATAGCATGACCTGAAAACTGGCAGTACCAATATAGCATGACCTGAAAACTGGCTGTACCAATATAGCATGTCCTGTAAACTGTCTGTACCAATATAGCATGTCCTGTAAACTGTCTGAACCAATATAGCATGTCCTGTAAACTGTCTGTACCAATATAGCATGACCTTAAAACTAGCTGTACCAATAGAGCATGTCCTGTAAACTGGCTGTACCAATATAGCATGACCTGAAAACTGGCTGTACCAACATAGCATGACCTGAAAACTGGCTGTACCAACATAGCATGTCCTGTAAACTGTCTGTACCAATATAGCATGACCTGTAAACTGTCTGTACCAATATAGCATGTCCTGTAAACTGTCTGTACCAATATATCATGTCCTGTTAACTGTCTGTACGAATATAGCATGACCTTAAAACTGGCTGTACCAATATAGCATGTCCTGTAACCTGGCTGTACCAATATAGCATGACCTGTAAACTGGCTGTACCAATATAGCATGTCCTGTAAACTGGCTGTACCAATATAGCATGTCCTGTAAACTGGCTGTACCAATATAGCATGACCTGAAAACTGGCTGTACCAATATAGCATGACCTTAAAACTGAATGTACAAATATAGCATGACCTTAAAACTGGCTGTACCAATATAGCATGACCTTAAAACTGGCTGTACCAATATAGCATGACCTTAAAACTGGCTGTACCAATACAGCATGTCCTGTAAACTGGCTGTACCAATATAGCATGACCTTAAAACTGGCTGTAGCTACAAAGCCTGACCTTAAAACTGAATGTACCAATATAGCATGACCTTAAAACTGGCTGTACCAATATAGCATGTCCTGTAAACTGTCTGTACCAATATAGCATGTCCTGTGACCTGGCTGTACCAATCTAGCATGACCTGTAAACTGGCTGTACCAATAAAGCATGTCCTGTAAACTGGCTGTACCCATATAGCATGACCTTAAAACTGGCTGGACCAACAAAGCCTGACCTTAAAACTGAATGTACCAATATAGCATGTCCTGAAAACTGGCTGTACCAACATAGCCATTTGAAAAATGACTGTACTAATATAGCATGACCTTAAAAATGACTGTACTAATATAGCCTGACCTGAAAACTGGTAAAAATCCCGGTTTTTCCTTGTGGCTTGAAGTTCATCTTTGCCCACCTCTCCATCATATAACCATTGGTTATAGCTTGGTTTTGTTCCAAACCCGTTGCAATTTTGAGTTTCCACCCTTTTCCACTGTTAACATTTGACGCGAGGCATTTCTGGTCAGTCACGTACCGATTTATAGGATCAGGTTAAGACGTTACCTATTTAGTTTGTTTGGACAGAACGAAACTAATAGCTAAATCTTTTGAACGCAGGAATAATTTCAAAATTAATAGCATTAGGGTTAAATCGTGATATCATTTTCTTTCCTGTGATATGATGACAGAAAATTCACAAAGAAAGTAAAAGTACCAATAAATGTTCATATATCACATGTTTGCAACGGCTCTGACACCAGGTAACAGGTGATATATCTGTAGAAGCATGAGGATAATAAGTGGGAGAAATAGATAGAAGTTCCGTCGGAGATCGTCTGCCGTCCGCTCGATCGAGGGTGTGTCAAGATGTCCTTGTCATTGTGTCTCATTCGATAACTTTTTTGTAAAGAAGGAAGAAAAATAGTAACTAACTGGTGTTGTTTTTTTCGGTTTACGTTTAATTCTACAGTAAAACATTATACGGGAACGAAGGGTAACTCCGGATCTAACATGGATGTTCTTCCTCAGCGAACGTCTTCTCTCGTTTTCTATGTGAATGGGAAAAAGGTGAGTTTGGGTTTCTTGTTCGAAATGAACGAACGTAATTTATATTCATGTCATCAAGATAGTGTTTACGTTTCCTGTCAAGTTGTTTTCTTAATCAGGAAGTTTGAAGTTTCCATGTTATGATGTGCTTTGCCTGTATATATTTTTGTCTGTAAAACACCCCCGGGGTACGTGTCGCGTGCTATGTATTGTCCAGCCGTTGTGTTAACATACCTATGTGTTAGGTCCCTCACTCTGGCGAGCTATCCTAATACATGTACCAGTTATCACCAGGACAAACCACATATTGACAATTTGCAAAGTCACGAAATTCTATGTAACTGATCAGGCTGACAGTAAATCATCGTGCTCTTAATCAATTAACAAAACATAACCAATCCGTCGGTGGTCATGGTATAGGATCAAGATCGGCGATAGCCGGAATGATACCACGGATCGCGATAATAATTTATGATTTTTGGTCAATTTTCACAAGTGATAAACAAGCTGGTGGACCTTTATTAGCCCACCCCGATAAAATGTTTGCAGTCCTGCAACATTCTTATGCAGGAATTAGACAGGTAATAGGGTCTTATATTATCTTTATGTGTTTAAGCCGAGCTGTACACTCAGTATAGTTATCTAGGTTAGGTATTTGGCTGATATAGTGCTCTATAGATATCTAGGTAAGGCCAACACAGTAGTAGGTGTGTTTCAGGTAACATGCATGAAAAAAACAGGGTAGGTCGGCAGGCTATTTTTTTTTTTTTTTTTTCACAATTTTACAATGGTTATTGAATTGTCAAGAATAAGTCAGACTCCTAGAACAGGAAACAGTACATTTTAATGAGTGGCTATGAACTTTTCCTGGCTAATAAATTAATTTTAGACACAAGTAGGCGATGCAATCTCTAGGGTCGGCAGGGAAACCTAGGGTAGGTCGAGATACCTGAAACACACACCTTTCTTTTTTGGCCTAAGTCACAAGCCGACTTGACCTCTCTGAAAAATCGGAAGTATCAAGACGCCACCTGGGTAAATACCTGCCTGATATGGACGAGCATGCAGGTACGATAACCGACAAATATACACATACACCGTAGTCTTCCTTGTAAAGGTGCTGCCATTGTACGGATGGTATTCTCTGTACATTTGGATCATGTGTGGACCAATGAGTCAACTGTGCTTAAAATTTGAGTTAGAGAAAATAAAACAGCTTAGACAAGATTTAAACTCCATCTATAAAAAGTACACACACAAAAAAAAATAAAAAAATCACCAAAACAAGACCAAAAAATCATCGGTCATAACATTAACGTGTACTTATAATTCACCTGTAAGTAAAGAATACCTTTGTATATATAGTTACGTGTGTAAATAAAGCATATCTGTGTATATATAGTTACGTGTGTAAATAAAGCATACCTGTGTATATATAGTTACGTGTGTAAGTAAAGTATAGCTGTATCTACAATTCAAGCTACATATGTGTTGGTATAGTTACGCGTCTAGAAATAGGCTATATGTATCTACAAGTTACATGTGTAGATAAAGTCTATCTGTATCTACAGGCTACGTGTGTAGATATAGTGTATCTGTATCTACAGGCTACGTGTGTAGATATAGTGTATCTGTATCTACAGGCTACGTGTGTAGATATAGTTTATCTGTGTCTACAAGCTACATGTTTAGGTATAGTTACGTGTGTAGATATAGTTTATCTGTGTCTACAGGCTACGTGTGTAGATAAAGTTTATCTGTGTCTACAGGCTACGTGTGTAGATATAGTGTATCTATGTCTACAGGCTACGTGTGTAGATATAGTTTATCTGTGTCTACAGGCTACATGTTTAGGTATAGTTACGTGTGTAGATATAGTTTATCTTTGTCTACAGGCTACATGTTTAGGTATAGTTACGTGTGTATATATAGTTTATCTGTGTCTACAGGCTACATGTTTAGGTATAGTTACGTGTGTAGATATAGTGTATCTGTATCTACAGGCTTCATGTTTAGGTATAGTTGCGTGTGTAGATATAGTGCATCTGTGTCTACAGGCTTCATGTTTAGGTATAGTTACGGGTGTAGATATTCCGTCTTTGCGTATTGCAGAGTTATCTTCTCTTGAGAGCAGGTATTGCTTGTTACCATCCCCTCTCTGTCGTTTTGTCAGGTAAACTATCTCGTCACTGTCGTTTTGTTAGGTAAACCAGCTATTCCCTGTCGTTTTGACAGGTAAATCATCTCCTCTCTGTCGTTTAGTCAGGTAAATCGTCTATTCCCTGTCGTTTTGTCAGGTTAACCATCTACTCCCTGTCGTTTTCGCAGGTAAACCATCTCCTCTCTGTCGTTTTGTCAGGTAAACCATCTCCTCACTGTCGTTTTGTCAGGTAAACCATCTCCTCCCTGTCGTTTAGTCTGGTAAACCATCTATTCTCTGTCGTTTTGTCAGGTAAACCATCTCCTCACTGTCGTTTTGTCAGGTAAACCATCTCCTCCCTGTCGTTTAGTCTGGTAAACCATCTATTCCCTGTCGTTTTGTCAGGTAAACCATCTCCTCACTGTCGTTTTGTCAGGTAAACCATCTCCTCCCTGTCGTTTAGTCTGGTAAACCATCTATTCCCTGTCGTTTTGTCCGGTAAACCATCTCCTCACTGTCGTTTTGTCAGGTAAACCATCTCCTCCCTGTCGTTTAGTCTGGTAAACCATCTATTCCATGTCGTTTTGTCAGGTAAACCATCTCCTCACTGTCGTTTTATCTGGTAAACCATCTATTCCCTGTCGTTTTGTCAGGTAAACCGTCTCTTCACTGTCGTTTTGTCAGGTAAACCATCTCCTCACTGTCGTTTTGTTAGGTAAATCATCTATTCCCTGTGGTTTTGTCAGGTAAACCATCTCCCCCCTGTCGTTTTGTCAGGTAAACTATCTCCTCAATGTCGTTTTGTTAGGTAAATCGTCTCGTCTCTGTCGTTTTGTCAGGTAAACCATCTCCTCTCTGTCGTTTTGTCAGGTAAACCATCTCCTCACTGTCGTTTTGTCAGGTAAACCATCTCTTTCCTGTCGTTTTGTCAGGTATACCATATCTTCCCTGTCGTTCTGCAATGTATATCATCTATTCCTGCCGTTTTTTCAGGTTTACCATGGTAATGACGAGCGGTGAATAACACAGGAGTATATAGTGTAATTTCACCAACATAAACTACTACTTACTTGTAACAAGGTACTATAAAAAACATAATTAGGCATTGTGTGAATGTTTGCTTGGAAATTAGGGGTTTCCTAGTTATATTGAAAAATATGTGTATTCCATGGTCCTGTTGTTTGTGTGTTCAACATAATGACCACTTGTTATATATCAGCAAACATTTTACAGCAAAGAAGGCTATTTTCAATTTGTTTGACAACACCTAAGGGCTTCGTCTATATATCGAATAGAACACCTGAGGACATCGTCTATATAGCCAACAGAACACCCGAGGATATCGACTATATATCCAACAGAACACCCAAGGACATCGTCTATATATCCAACAGAACACCCGAGGACATCGTCTATATATCCATTAGACCACCCGAGAACATTGTCTTTATATCCAACAGAACACTCGAGGACATCGTCTATATATCCAACAGAACACCAGAGGCCATCGACTATATATCCAACAGAACACCCGAGGACATCGTCTATATATCCAACAGAACACCCGAGGACATCGTCTATATATCCAACAGAACTCTCGACGACATCGTCTATATTTCCAACAGAACACGAGAGGCCATCGTCTATATATCCAACAGAACACTCAAGGACATCGACTATATATCCATCAGAACACCCGAGGACATCGTCTATATATTCAACAGAACACCCGAGGACATCGTCTTTATATCCAACAGAACACCCGAGGACATCGTCTATATATCCAACAGAACACCCGAGGACATCGACTATATATCCAACAGAACACCCAGGCCATCGTCTATATATCCAACAGAACACTCAAGGACATCGACTATATATCCATCAGAACACCCGAGGACATCGTCTATATATCCAACAGACCACCCGAGGACATTGTCTATATATCCAGCTGAACACTGAAGGCATCGTCTATATATCCAACAGAACGCCCGAGGATATCGACTATATATCCAACAGAACACCCGAGGATATCGTCTATATATCCAACAGAACACCCGAGGATATCGTCTATATATACAACAGAACACCCGAGGAAATCGTCTATATATCCAACAGAACACCCGAGGACATCGTCTATATATCCAACAGAACACCCGAGGACATCGTCTATATATCCAACAGAACACCCGAGGACATCGTCTATATATCCAACAGAACACCCGAGGACATCGTCTATATATCCAACAGAACACCCGAGGACATCGTCTATATATCCAACAGAACACCCGAGGACATCGTCTATATATCCAACAGAACACCCGAGGACATCGTCTATATATCCAACAGAACACCCGAGGACATCGTCTATATATCCAACAGAACACCCGAGGACATCGTCTATATATCCAACAGAACACCCGAGGACATCGTCTATATATCCAACAGAACACCCGAGGACATCGTCTATATATCCAACAGAACACCCGAGGACATCGTCTATATATCCAACAGAACACCCGAGGACATCGTCTATATATCCAACAGAACACCCGAGGACATCGTCTATATATCCAACAGAACACCCGAGGACATCGTCTATATATCCAACAGAACACCCGAGGACATCGTCTATATATCCAACAGAACACCCGAGGACATCGTCTATATATCCAACAGAACACCCGAGGACATCGTCTATATATCCAACAGAACACCCGAGGACATCGTCTATATATCCAACAGAACACCCGAGGACATCGTCTATATATCCAACAGAACACCCGAGGACATCGACTATATATCCAACAGAACACCCGAGGACATCGACTATATATCCAACAGAACACCCGAGGACATCGTCTATATATCCAACAGAACACCCGAGGACATCGTCTATATATCCAACAGAACACCCGAGGACATCGTCTATATATCCAACAGAACACCCGAGGACATCGTCTATATATCCAACAGAACACCCGAGGACATCGTCTATATATCCAACAGAACACCCGAGGACATCGTCTATATATCCAACAGAACACCCGAGGACATCGTCTATATATCCAACAGAACACCCGAGGACATCGTCTATATATCCAACAGAACACCCGAGGACATCGTCTATATATCCAACAGAACACCCGAGGACATCGTCTATATATCCAACAGAACACCCGAGGACATCGTCTATATATCCAACAGAACACCCGAGGACATCGTCTATATATCCAACAGAACACCCGAGGACATCGACTATATATCCAACAGAACACCCGAGGACATCGACTATATATCCAACAGAACACCCGAGGACATCGTCTATATATCCAACAGAACACCCGAGGACATCGACTATATATCCAACAGAACACCCGAGGACATCGTCTATATATCCAACAGAACACCCGAGGACATCGTCTATATATCCAACAGAACACCCGAGGACATCGTCTATATATCCAACAGAACACCCGAGGACATCGTCTATATATCCAACAGAACACCCGAGGACATCGTCTATATATCCAACAGAACACCCGAGGACATCGTCTATATATCCAACAGAACACCCGAGGACATCGTCTATATATCCAACAGAACACCCGAGGACATCGTCTATATATCCAACAGAACACCCGAGGACATCGTCTATATATCCAACAGAACACCCGAGGACATCGTCTATATATCCAACAGAACACCCGAGGACATCGTCTATATATCCAACAGAACACCCGAGGACATCGTCTATATATCCAACAGAACACCCGAGGACATCGTCTATATATCCAACAGAACACCCGAGGACATCGTCTATATATCCAACAGAACACCCGAGGACATCGTCTATATATCCAACAGAACACCCGAGGACATCGTCTATATATCCAACAGAACACCCGAGGACATCGTCTATATATCCAACAGAACACCCGAGGACATCGTCTATATATCCAACAGAACACCCGAGGACATCGTCTATATATCCAACAGAACACCCGAGGACATCGTCTATATATCCAACAGAACACCCGAGGACATCGTCTATATATCCAACAGAACACCCGAGGACATCGTCTATATATCCAACAGAACACCCGAGGACATCGTCTATATATCCAACAGAACACCCGAGGACATCGTCTATATATCCAACAGAACACCCGAGGACATCGTCTATATATCCAACAGAACACCCGAGGACATCGTCTATATATCCAACAGAACACCCGAGGACATCGTCTATATATCCAACAGAACACCCGAGGACATCGTCTATATATCCAACAGAACACCCGACGACATCGACTATATATCCAACAGAACACCCGAGGACATCGTCTATATATCCAACAGAACTCCCGACGACATCGTCTATATATCCAACAGAACAACCAAGGACATCGTCTATATATCCAACAGAACACCCGACGACATCGTCTATATATCCAACAGAACACCCGAGGACATCGTCTATATATCCAACAGAACACCCGAGGATAGTGTCTGCATGTTATATAAACAGCAAAAAATCAATCTTCCTTATTTTAGAACAGTGAAGAATATCTTTGGCTAAAACAAGCATTACAGATGTATTATGTTCAATTTGATCTTCAATTTGATAAACTAGTGTGCTGTTGATAGTTGATAAACGAGTGTGTTGTTAATAATTGAAAAAAATGAGTGTTATGTTTTATTATTAAAAGACGAGTGTGCTGTTTATAACTGATAAACGAGTGTTGTGTTTATAATTGATTAACAAGTGTGATGTTGATAATTGATAAACGACTTTGTTGTTTATAATAGATAAACGAGTTTGTTGTTTATAATCGATAAACAAGTGTATTATTTATAATTGATAAACCAGTGTGTTGTTTATGATTTATAAACAAGTTTGTGTTTTATGATAGAATGACGAGTTTGTTGTTTATAATTGATAAACGAGTTTGTTGATTATAATTGATAAACCAGTGTGTTGTTTATAATTTATAAACAAGTTTGTGTTATATGATAGATTGACGAGTTTGTTGTTTATAATTGATAAACGAGTTTGTTGTTTATAATCGATTAACAAGTTTGTGTTTTATAATAGATAAACGAGGGTGTTGTTTTATAATAGATAAACTAGTGTGTTGTTTATAATCGATAATCAAATTTCTTAATAAACGTTAACCATGTTTTTGCAGGTTGTTGATCCTGATCCCGATCCAGAGACTACTCTTCTTCAGTTTTTACGCACAAAACGTATCCTTGAAAAGTTTGGTGCAATAACCATCCCACTTGACTTACTTAAAAGAGGATACACGGAAAATGAGCAGCAGTGACTTGAAATAGTTCAATCGCTGTAAAATGTAAAAATAAAGAAAAACATTCTGAATTTTAAACAGAGATGAAGCCCTTGATATCTAGATACAAAATAAGATAACAAAATGGGGTAGAAAAAGGTCTTAACCAAACAATTAAACTGTTTAGGTCTCAATGGCCAAAACTGTGTTTATAACGAATATTTTCATTATGGCAGAAACAAGTCGGACGTTAAATACACTTTACTGTCACGCATTGGTGTCCATCTGGGTTTATTCCTGTGTTCTAAATTGTATGTGGGTTTAATGTGTACTTTCATCAGGGTTTACTATGTACTTCCATCAGGGTTTACTGTGTACTTCCATCAGGGTTTATTGTGTACTTCCATCAGGGTTTACTGTGTACTTCCATCAGGGTTCACAGTGTACTTCCATCAGGGTTTACTGTGTACTTCCATCAGGGTTTACTGTTTGTCCTAGAGTTTCACCAGGGTTAAATATTTTACTTAAACCTTCAGGGTTTCATCTGGTTTTTCTGTTTTACTTAGATTTTTATTGCGGTTTAATGTTTTACTTTGACTTTCACCTTGGTTAACTGCTACCTACATTTTCTTCATGGTTTTGAAGTTGTACTCAGACTTTCACCTGGGCTTGATGTTTTATTTAGACTTTCACCTGGGCTTAATGTTTTATTTAGACTTTCATCTGGGCTTAATGTTTTATTTAGACTTTCATCTGGGCTTGATGTTTTATTTAGACTTTCATCTGGGATTAATGTTTTATTTAGACTCTCATCAAGGTTAAATATTGTACTGAGACTTTCATCAATGTTTAATATTGTACTGAGACTCTCATCAAGGTTAAATATTGTACTGAGACTTTCATCAATGTTTAATATTGTACTGAGACTCTCATCAAGGTTAAATATTGTACTGAGACTTTCATCAATGTTTAATATTGTACTGAGACTCTCATCAAGGTTAAATATTGTACTGAGACTTTCATCAATGTTTAATATTGTACCGAGACTTTCATCAAGGTTTGATATTGTACCGAGACTTTCATCAATGTTTAATATTGTACCGAGACTTTCATCAATGTTTAATATTGTACTGAGACTTTCATCAAGGTTTAATGTTGTACCGATACTTTCATCAAGATTAAATATTGTACTGATACTCTCATCAAGGTTTAATATTGTACTGAGACTTTCATCAAGGTTAAATATTGTACTGAGACTTTTATCAAGGTTAAATATTGTACTGAGACCTTCATCAATGTTAAATATTGTACTGAGACTTTCATCAAGGTTTAATTTTGTACTGAGACTCTCATCAAGGTTTGATATTGTACTGAGACTTTCATCAATGTTTAATATTGTACCAAGACTTTCATCAATGTTTAATATTGTACCGAGACTTTCATCAATGTTTAATATTGTACTGAGACTTTCATCAAGGTTTAATATTGTACTGAGACTTTCATCAATATTAAATATTGTACTGAGACTTTCATCAATGTTAAATATTGTACTGAGACTTTCATCAAGGTTTAATATTGTACCGAGACTTTCATCAAGGTTTGATATTGTACCGAGACTTTCATCAAGGTTTAATATTGTACTGAGACCCTCATCAAGGTTAAATATTGTACTGATACTTTCATCAAGGTTTAATATTGTACCGAGACTTTTATCAATGTTTAGAATTGTACTGAGACTCTCGTCAAGGTTAAATATTGTACCGAGACTTTCATCAAGGTTTAATATTTTACTGAGACTTTTATCAATGTTTAATATTGTACCGAGACTTTCATCAAGGTTTAATATTGTAACGAGACTTTCATCAATGTTTGATATTGTACCGAGACTTTCATCAATGTTTAATATTGTACCGAGACTTTCATCAATGTTTAATATTGTACCGAGACTTTCATCAAGGTTTGATATTGTACCGAGACTTTCATCAAAGTTTAATATCGTACTGAGACTCTCATCAATGTTTAATATTGTACTGAGACTCTCATCAAGGTTAAATATTTTACCGAGACTTTCATCAAGGTTTAATATTGTGCTGAGACTCTCATCAATGTTTAATAGTGTACCGAGACTTTCATCAACGTTTAATATTGTACTGAGACTCTCATCAATGTTTAATAGTGTACCGAGACTTTCATCAATGTTTAATATTGTACTGAGACTCTCATCAAGGTTAAATATTGTACCGAGACTTTCATCAAGGTTTAATATTTTACTGAGACTTTTATCAAGGTTAAATATTGTACCGAGACTTTCATCAAGGTTTGATATTGTACCGAGACTTTCATCAAAGTTTAATATCGTACTGAGACTCTCATCAATGTTTAATATTGTACTGAGACTTTCATCAAGGTTTAATATTTTACTGAGACTCTTATCAAGGTTTAATATTGTACCGAGACTTTCATCAATGTTTAATATTGTACTGAGACTTTCATCAAGGTTAAATATTGTACTGAGACTTTCATCAATGTTTAATATTGTACCGAGACTTTCATCAAGGTTTGATATTGTACCGAGACTTTCATCAATGTTTAATATTGTACTGAGACTCTCATCAAGGTTAAATATTGTACCGAGACTTTCATCAAGGTTTAATATTTTACTGAGACTTTTATCAAGGTTAAATATTGTACCGAGACTTTCATCAATGTTTGATATTGTACTGAGACTTTCATCAAGGTTAAATATTGTACTGAGACTTTCATCAATGTTTAATATTGTACCGAGACTTTCATCAAGGTTTGATATTGTACCGAGACTTTCATCAATGTTTAATATTGTACTGAGACTCTCATCAAGGTTAAATATTGTACCGAGACTTTCATCAAGGTTTAATATTTTACTGAGACTTTTATCAAGGTTTAATATTGTACCGAGACTTTTATCAAGGTTAAATATTTTACTGAGACTTTCATCAATGTTTAATATTGTACTGAGACTCTCATCAAGGTTAAATATTGTACCGAGACTTTCATCAAGGTTTAATATTTTTCTGAGACTTTTATCAAGGTTTGATATTGTACCGAGACTTTTATCAAGGTTAAATATTGTACTGAGACTCTTATCAAGGTTTAATATTGTACCGAGACTTTTATCAATGTTGACACTTTTACTTGTATACTTCCTGTGTCCTGTCTTTTATCCGTTTTCATATTGAACACTGACTTTCATCTGAGGGTAATATTTTACTTAGAATTTACTGTTTTGCTTTAATATAAAGGGGACCATCAATACAAATCAAGTAATGTTTACAAACAAGTCCTTATCCTATTAAAGTACGATTGACAGGGACAAAGCTCGGCTGTGGGGAGGGAGGATGTGGTGCGTGCACAGTGATGGTCTCCGCGTGCGACACTGTTAGCAACCAGGTCAGGTAAGCACCACGTACTATTTTGTCTTCTTTTTAATTTTTTTTGCCTGGCATTTGAAAAGATACACATTAAAGGTTAAAGAAAACGTTGTTATGACAGCCTTTGTCATACTCGGTAAAGCAATATTGAAAAATGGAATTTCTTTTCACGTATCCATGACAGCAGAGGCTGTAATGACTGTTGGTATTTTTGTCAAAATGAAAATGAAGTTTCAACAATCTTATATGATGTAGTAAAGATGCAAAAGGAACAATACAGAATATAGTAAGTTGCATTTTCTGTTGTTAGGCATTTTTCTGTCAATGCATGCTTGGCGCCGATTTGTTCACTGCACGGTCTAGCCATTACGACAGTGGAGGGTATAGGTAGCATCAAACATGGACTCCATCCGGTCCAAGTAGGTAACTTTGTGGACACACAAGTCAATGATCTAACCTACCCACATCCTCTACTTCGAGATATTTTCCAATAAAGCAATAAACATCGCGATTTCGTTTCATTCTCTGCTAAGACATATGTTCAAATTTCAATTCACTTCCAGACCTAACCTCAGACCTAACCTCAATATACTCCTTGGTGATATACGGTTGTGAGTTGGGAGTATCACACTGAACCAATGGATACATTGTAACCCTGGAAGAGACTTTTCAAACGGTTCATTTTATTGTAGGAGAAAATAGCCAAAGCTCATGGGTCACAGTGCGGGTTCTGCACCCCTGGAATCGTCATGTCCATGTACACCCTCCTAAGGAATATCACCAACCCTAGCATGAAGGACATGGAAAGTGCTTTTGAAGGTTTGTTGGTTATGTCAATCAATTCTACTTTAAAAAAAGGAATTGAGAAAACTTATTTCCCCTATACAAATTATGGATCTTTACTTGATAAATACTGACTTCGAGAAAACATGCTACCCCAGTTTTATGGATTCGATTTCTCTGTATAAAAGTCACACATTTTATCTGACTTCTATTGGTAGCTAGCTAATTGGTGTCTCTGAAGACCATTTAAACTCTATGGATGATTTATAGAGGTACATTTCTGCTTATACAGGTAATTTGTGTAGGTGCACAGGTTACAGACCTATACTTGAAGGGTTTAAGTCCTTCACAAAGGTAAGTCGTTTTTACAGTCCATAAACATAGAATTGTTGTCAGGTAAATTTAATTGTCCAGAAAGTGTAGCTTTAATTTTCTTTTCTTACAATGCAAAAAATTAGGAAGCCTTTAAAATATGTGGACTGTAGCAAGTGTTACGTGTTTATATCGACTACAGAAGGATAGGATAAGCCTCTTCCTACCTACTGGCCAGATACATCAGCCTGTGTTAGCAGGAGCCCGTGACGTTAACTGTCACGACGATGTACTACCTACTGGCCAGATACATCAGCATGTGTTAGCAGGGGCCCGTGACGTTAACTGTCACCTACTGGCCAGGTACATCAGCCTGTGTTAGCAGGGGCCCGTGGCGTTAACTGTCACGATGATGTACGGCCATAGTGTGTGGAACGGCTGGTATTATGTCTTACAACAGAATGTAAGTAATAACGGAAACATAGTAATGTTATACATGCTTTGCGATACTAAAGACTTCTGAATACTAAAAGTATGATTTTTGTCACTAAATTTATTATTTTTGTTAATGACGATTCGGTAAACTTATTTCTATAACTAAGGAAGCCTGTGCCCTGGGTACGGCCTGTTGTCGGAACCAGACTAAATCAAATGGAGATAGCAATTCAGACCGACGGACGGTGAATGGTTCGGTCGTCAGCACGTGTAATGGTGACGCTCTGGCATTGGTTAACGGAAACGGATTTGTGGATCACCAGGTAAAATCAAAATTTTAAGTATGATTATAAATGTGTTAACACATTCTTTAAAAACAATAACAAGGCAACCGTTATTTTGTTTCCGTTTAACTCTTTTAATCCTACCTTCAATTATAACTCATTACGTTTTCAGATCAACAAAATAAATTTCAAAGATTATGAGTGTATAGTTAACATATGTGCTTGGGGAATGTAGCAAGTTCCTGGTCGCGAAAGAACAGTTATATTTCAATGGACATTGAAAAGCAATATTTCAACAATGTCTGCGCTGTTCAAATCCGAGTTGTTTTAGCTTCTGGACTATAGCATAGTGGATCGATAACTAACTCCCGAGAGTGTGAATTCAAGGCAAAGCGGAGATATTGTCTATTAAACAAATTACCTTTATATAGATTGAATTAAGTAAAGGTATACTATATACATGTATCCTTGTATGTGAGGTTATTAAATAAAGTTGTGCACAAACTAAAATTAGAAATAGAGTTAAACGATGTAACAACACAGTCACACGCAATAAGGAAACCACATTTTACCTAAAAATATGTACAGGTAAAAAATTTAACTTGATACCAACATAACCGGTCCAGGGCGCTGTTTCTTTTGTATGCTTGACCGATTTAGATAAAAAGCAGTCTACCTTAACAGGTACCGATAACCCGATACCTCGGGTCAACAATGTGACTCTAGTATACATTGTGATGTATCTATATACTGTATGATATTGTGGCATATTTAACGTGAAGAAAAAAATTGTTTACCTTTTCAGTGCTACAGTTTCGCACTGTATATGATTTAGTCGTGGAGGAGATAACAAAGTGACAAACGCCTGAATCTTTAATTTAACCCCCATCCTTCTTTGAGTTGTCGTACCTCTCAAGACATAACATTTGAACATTAGATTAAACACATCAATTTGAACGAAAAAAGCCTTGCAGCAGTGTTAAATTCCTTTATACTCGACGATGTAGTAATTCAAACCACACTGGTACTCGCTGATAATTTTGCACTTTTTATTTTGTTTTGATTTGTGTCCTTATCAGCATCAATTATCGCATACACAATGTATCTATTCATTTGTAAATTGAATATCAAAAGTTTACCTCTTTATCAGGCGATGACCAATGGAGACAACCAGACAACAGACCTCTTGCCAGCAGACTCAACACAAGACCCGATCTTTCCACCGCAACTTAGGGTAAGGTCAACTTTCTATAAGCAAATACCCAGAGCAAGATAAAACTATCTGTAGGCAAAATTTCAGGGCAAGATCAAACTATAGGCAATATTATTCAAAATCTAAATTCAGATTCTACAACATATTTATTGTCAGCAGAAAGTAAACAGTGAGATTTATCATAGCATCTTTTTAATGCATTTTATTTCCTTTGGCTCGACTCAAGTCATTGCAATCTCATTACCTCAACAAACTGTAAACTTATTCCTTGAGTAACTTATTATTTGTCAGACAAGTGAGTATGATGACCAGTTCCTCTACTACAAAGGGGAGAGGGCAGTCTGGTATAGGCCAACATCACTGGACCAGCTGCTAGAACTTAAGGCTGTGCACCCAACTGCAAAACTGGTAATCGGCAACACAGAAATCGGTTAGTAAACTGGACTTATTTTCTAGTTAGGTCTACACTAAATTGTTTTGGAAAGACATAGGGAACTGCAGATCTGTTTTATCTCATTTGGATCATTTTAGTTATAAATACATTTATAATCACTGGAAGGGGACATTCACTTAATCGACACTGAAATATTGAAGAACAACAGTGTCAAGTCTATTAAGTCAGCATTAATGTTGAATTTCTGAATTTCTTTTCCGCGAACTATGATAAAGCAAGCCAAGCTGTTGAAGTTTCAAATTCATCCCATTTCATTTTAACAAATTGTATTCATGATGTTATATGAATAGTATTGAACAACAGGCTTATACGCCTATATCAGTTCTCTCCTTCAAAAGCATATTTCATGGTTTAACCTTTGATAATAAAATGTTACGTTTTGATTAATTTTCTATAATTATCTTTTTTCTGGATTAAGTTTTAATAATATATTTCAGGAGTTGAAATAAAGTTCAAGAACATGCATTACCCTGTAATGATTGCGCCTACTCACATACCAGAGCTACGGAGTGTGGTCACTGTCGGTGATGGCATCCTATTTGGGGCCTCTGTCACTCTCACCCAGCTTAATGAAACTCTCAACGGTGCTATAGACACAATGCCAGGTATTTATCTAGAATGATACTTGTCAAAGTTCAAACACCTGTTAGTATTGGTTAAAAGTCAATTATAATTGTTACTATAGATACAATGTACTATTTTAAGTTAAAGTTCCAGTTCAGTATATATTTTGTTAATTTTTCTAGTCTAGTCTAGCCTAGTTCAATAAGCATCGACTGCTAACATAGGTTAGACATCAACGCATTATGCTCTTTGAAATTTAGATCAAAGCAATACCAACCTTACAATTACAGTATATAGTGATACCTGTATTACATGTAACTGACATCATGTGTAACAGAACATATTGGTCAGATTAACCTGTCTGATGCGTCACCCTGTGTGACAACATATTGGTCAGATTAACCTGTCTGATGTATCACCCTGTGTGACAGAACATATTGGTCAGATTAAATTTTCTGATGCGTCACCCTGTGTGACAACATATTTGTCCGATCAACCTGTCTGATGTGTCACTCTGTGCGACAGGCCATATTGGTCAGATTAACCTATCCGATGCGTCACCCTGTGTGACAACACATTGGTCCGATTAACCTGTCTGATGGGACACCCTGTGTGACAGAACATAATGGTCAGATTAACCTATCTGATGCGTCACCCTCTGCGACAACATATTGCTCCGATCAACCTGTCTGATGTGACCCTCTGTGTGAAAGAACATATTGGACAGATTAACCTATCTGATGCGTCTCCCTCTGCGACAACATATTGCTCCGATCAACCTGTCTGATGTGACCCTCTGTGTGAAAGAACATATTGGACAGATTAACCTATCTGATGCGTCATGCTGTGTGACAGCGTATTGGTCCGATTAACCTGTCTGAGGTGACACCCTGTGTGACGGAACATATTGGTCGGATAAACTTTTCTGATGAGTCACCCTGTGTGACAACATATTTGTCCGATCAACCTGTCTGATGTGTCACTCTGTGCGACAGGCCATATTGGTCAGATTAACCTATCTGATGAGTCACCCTGTGTAACAACATATTGGTCCGATTAACCCGTCTGATGTGACACCCTGTGTGAAACAAATATTGGTCATATTAACCTGTTTGATGTGTCACCCTGTGGGACAGAACATATTTGTCAGATAAACCTGTCTGATGTGACAACCTGTGTGACAGAACAATTGGTCGGATAAACTTTTCTGATGAGTCACCCTGTGTGCCAACATATTGGTCCGATCAACCTGTCTGATGTGTCACTCTGTGTGACAGAACATATTGGTCAGATAAACTATTCTGATGAGTCACCCAGTGTGACAACATATTGGTCCGATCAACATGTCTACTGACATCATGTGTAACAGAACATATTGGTCAGATTAACCTATCTAATGCGTCACCCTGTGTGACAACACATTGGTCCGATTAACCTGTCTGATGTGACACCATGTGTGACAACATTTTGGTCAGATAAACCTGTCTGATGTGGTCCGATCAACCTGTCTGATGTGCCACTCTGTGTGAAAGAACATATTGGACAGATTAACCTATCTGATGCGTCATCCTGTGTGACAACATATTGGTCCGATCAACCTGTCTGATGTGACACTCTGTGTGAAAGAACATATTGGTCAGATTAACCTATCTGATGCGTCACCCTGTGTGACAACATATTGGTCCGATTAACCTGTCTGATGTGACACCCTGTGTGACAGAACATATTGGTCGGATAAACTTTTCTGATGCGTCCCCCTGTTCGACAACATATTGGTCCGATCAACCTGTCTTATGTGACACTCTGTGTGACAGAACATATTGGTCAGATTAACCTATCTGATGCGTCACCCTGTGTGACAGAACATATTGGTCAGATTGACGTTTCTGATGTGTCACCCTGTGGGACAGAACATATTTGTCAGATAAACCTGTCTGATGTGACAACCTGTGTGACAGAACATATTGGTAAGATTAACCTATCTGATGCGTCACACTGTGTGACAACATATTGGACCGATCAACCTGTCTGATGTGACACTCTGTATGAAAGAACATATTGGTCAGATTATCCTGTCTGATGTGTCACCCTGCCTGACAGAACATATTGGTCAGATTAACCTGTCTAATGTGTCACCCTGTGTGACAACATATTGGTCCGATCAACCTGTCTGATGTGTCGCCCTGTGTGACAGAACATATTGGTCAGATTAAATTTTCTGATGCGTCACCCTGTGTGACAGAACATATTGGTCAGATTGACTTTTCTGATGTGTCACCCTGTGTGACAACATATTGGTCCGATCAACCTGTCTGATGTATCACCCTGTGTGACAGAACATATTGGTAAGAATAACCTGTCTGATGTGACACTCTGTGTGACAGAATATATGGGTCAGATTAACTTTTCTGATGTGACACCCTGTGTGACAGAACATATTGGTCAGATTAACCTGTCTGATGTGACACCATGTGTGACAACATTTTGGTCAGATAAACCTGTCTGATGTGACACTCTGTGTGACAGAAGATATTGGTCCGATCAACCTGTCTGATGTGACACCATGTGTGACAGAACATATTGGTCATATTAACTTTTCTGATGTGACACCCTGTGTGACAGGAGATATTGGTCAGATTAACCTGTCTGATGTGTCACCCTGTGTGACAACATATTGGTCCGATCAACATGTCTGATGTATCACCCTGTGTGACAGAAAATATTGGTCAGATTAACCTGTCTGATGTGACACCATGTGTGACAACATTTTGGTCAGATTTATCTGTCTTATGTGACACACTGTGTGAAAATATATTGGTCAGATTAACCTGTCTGATCTGACACCCTGTGTGAAAACATACTGGTCAGATTAACCTTTTTTATGTGACACTCTGTGTGACAGAACATATTGGTCAGACAAACCTGTCTGATGTGACACCCTGTGTGACAATATATTGTTCAGATTAACCTGTTTGATCTGAACATATTTGTCAGATAAACCTGTCTGATGTGTCACCCTGTCTGACATAACATATTGGTCAGATTAAGCTATCTGATATGTGACACCCTGTGTGAAAACATACTGGTCAGATTAACCTGTTTTATGTGACACTCTGTGTGAAAGAACATATTGGTCAGAGAAACCGGTCTGATGTGACACCCTGTGTGACAGAACATATTGGTCAGATTAAGCTATCTGATGTGTCACCCTGTGTGACAGAACATATTGGTCTGATTAAGCTATCTGATGTGTCACCCTGTCTGACAGAACATATTGGTCAGATTAACCTGTCTGATGTGACAACCTGTGTGACAGAACATTTTGGTAAGATTAACCTGTCTGATGTGACAACCTGTGTGTCAGAACATATTGGTCAGACAAACCTGTCTGATGTGACACTCTGTGTGACAGAACATATTGGTCTGATTAAGCTATCTGATGTGTCACCCTGTCTGACAGAACATATTCGTCAGATAAACCTGTCTGATGTGTCACCCTGTGGGACAGAACAAATTTGTCAGATAAACCTGTCTGATGTGACACTCTGTGTGACAGAACATATTGGTCAGACAAACCTGTCTGATGTGACACCCTGTGTGAAACAAATATTGGTCAGATTAACCTGTTTGATGTGTCACCCTGTGGGACAGAACATATTTGTCAGATAAACCTGTCTGATGTGACAACCTGTGTGACAGAACATATTGGTCAGATAAACCTGTCTGATGTGACACCCTGTGTGAAACAAATATTGGTCATATTAACCTGTTTGATGTGTCACCCTGTGGGACAGAACATATTTGTCAGATAAACCTGTCTGATGTGTCACCCTGCCTGACAGAACATATTGGTCAGATTAACCTGTCTAATGTGTCACCCTGTGTGACAGAACATATTTGTCAGATAAACCTGTCTGATGTGTCACCCTGTCTGACAGAACATATTCGTCAGATAAACCTGTCTGATGTGTCACCCTGTGTGACAGAACATTTTGGTAAGATTAACCTGTCTGATGTGACAACCTGTGTGACAGAACATATTGGCCAGATAAACCTGTCTGATGTGACACTCTGTGTGACAGAACTTATTGGTCAGATTACCCTGTCTGATGTGACACCATGTGTGACAGAACATTTTGGTCAGATTAACCTGTCTTATGTGACAACCTGTGTGACAGAACATATTGTTCAGATAAACCTGTCTGATGTGACACTCTGTGTACCAGAACTTATTGGTCAGATTAACCTGTCTGATGTGACACTCTGTGTGAAACAAATATTGGTCATATTAACCTGTCTGATGTGACACCCTGTGTTAAACAAATATTGGTCATATTAACCTGTCTGATGTGACACCCTGTGTGAAACAAATATTGGTCATATTAACCTGTTTGATGTGTCACCCTGTGGGACAGAACATATTGGTCAGATTAACCTGTCTAATGTGTCACCCTGTGTCACAGAACATTTTGGTCAGATTAACCTGTCTTATGTGACAACCTGTGTGACAGAACATATTGTTCAGATAAACCTGTCTGATGTGACACTCTGTGTGAAACAAATATTGGTCATATTAACCTGTCTGATGTGACACCCTGTGTTAAACAAATATTGGTCATATTAACCTGTCTGATGTTTCACCCTGTGGGACAGAACATATTGGTCAGATTAACCTGTCTAATGTGTCACCCTGTGTGACAGAACATTTTGGTCAGATTAACCTGTCTTATGTGACAACCTGTGTGACAGAACATATTGGTCAGATAAACCTGTCTGATGTGACACTCTGTGTAACAGAACTTATTGGTCAGATTAACCTGTCTGATGTGACACCATGTGTGATAGAACATTTTGGTCAGATTAACTTGTCTGATGTGACACCATGTGTGACAACGTACTGGTCAGATTAACCTGTTTTATGTGACACTCTGTGTAACAGAACATATTGGTCAGATAAACCTGTCTGATGTGACCCTCTGTGTAACAGAACATATTGGTCAGATTAACCTGTCTGATGTGACACCATGTGTGACAGAACATATTGGTCAGATAAACCTGTCTAATGTGACACCCTGTGTGACCGAACATATTGGTCATATTTACCTGTCTGATGTGACACCCTGTGTGACAACATATTGGTCCTGATGACATGAAGATTTCCCTGTCTATTGGTCAAATGAAAACAACGTAATCCAAATACTCATAAAACAGTAAGAAAATACGTATAATGTATGTTAACAAGTAAAATTTGAGTTGAGGAGTTTTTATTGTGAACACTTTGGTTATTCTACCTTTACAAAGATGATAATAAACAATTGGTCAGCACATGATCTGCAGTATTAAGACCAAATGGTCATCACAGGGTTTGCAGTGCCAAATGGTCAGCGCAGGGTCTGCAGTTTTAAGAGCAACTGGCAGCAGTGTGTTCGAAGAAACTCAACTGCCTTTAATTGATCAATTTGTATACTGAATGTATCAGACAAAGATTAGGTCATCATCAGGCACAAACACTGAAATCGATTCTCAATCTGATATTTTTCAGAACACAAGACTGGTATATTCAAAGCTATTGTGGAAATGTTACGCTGGTTCGCGGGTCACCAAATAAGGAATGTTGCTGTAAGTTAACAATGCTAACATGATTTTACTTTGGTAAAAAAAAATGAAAAAAGTGTTTAAAGTTTCTACAAAGTATGTCCACCGTCACATTGTTTTTTTCTTTTGTAGATATTTTAATTTAACTATATATTCTAATGAATTACATAAAGATGGTAAAGTAATAAGACTGACAGGGTTACCAAATAGCTTCCATATTTCTTCATTGATGGTTACCTTGTGATTCAGGCTATTGGAGGGAACATCATGACTGCCAGTCCGATCTCCGACCTCAATCCTCTGTTCATGGCAGCCGGGGTTATGTTACAAGTGGCCTCTAAAGGTGAGCGATCTGTAAGGAAATTCCAGTATTACATTTCCTGATTATATTATTTATTAGATTTTGGAGAGCAAAACTTATTCAAATTCTGAGTATTGTATCAGTTTTAAAATGTTTAGTTAACCCACATCTTGTGATCTTTATCTTAGCAGTCTTCGAGTTGTATTAATAAACTTGCCTCGCATGGTCTCTTTCTAATGATGAATAAAATCAATCATCGATATATTTTTTATCTTAAATATAGTAACACTGATCCCATTTAATAAGATAATAGTATGAAATGCCATAGTTCAGTCAAGCCCATACAATGAATTACCGGTACATACAATAGAATCTTAGCAAATAACAAGACGGATGAAATTCCGCTAATTTCATTGTAAAAATTGCGAATGAAAAGTCAGTAGTCTCGTTCAAAAATAGAAAGGCTTGAAAATGATGTTTAGTGTATTGTAAAGCATTTTATCATGTCGTTCAATCAGTACAAAGTATCGATGTAACCACTAAAGTAGGTTTGATGCAAAATACCATTGTAGTCATAAAGTACGTTTAATAAATGTATATGATTTTATATAAAGGTGAAAGACGGACCATTAAAATGGACGAACATTTCTTCCTTGGCTACCGGAGACCTGCAGTACATGCTGATGAAGTGTTGGTGTCATTGACGATCCCATTTACACAGGAGGTCAGTCTAGTGATATTGTTTACGTGATCCGGAATCTATTTAATCTTCTAGCTTGCTATTCTCCATGATTCCTGATGTCGATCATTCATCTTAATGGCGTGATCATTTATCAGAGTAAAAGGTGATATAAAATATGTGATGATAAGTCACATTTGATATAAAGTTAAAAAAATACTTTTAAGAAGCCTTTCTTTAATTACTTTATACAAATCTCCCGTCTTCATATAGAGCATCAGGTTCACTGAGAACACTTTGGAGAGATTATAATTTCCATAGGTTAGCATGAACATGTTATTTCCTCATGTGAATGATTTTGTAAAATGGCAACGTGAATTCCTTCTTAACTGGCAAAACATGTGAAATGTATTTTAAGAACTTAAAAGGATTTCATATCAAATATTCGATATAAATCAAATAAATTACGTAAAATATGTAGAGAAGAATGGTGTTTTAGGAAAACCCAATATTTATATCAATACTAAAATGAACATAAAGTGGAATCCACTGAATTTGTCATTTATGGATGGATGTCACAATGATTTTACCAAGATTAAAAGGTAAAGGGTGAAGGGGAAGAGGAGAAGGAAATGGGATAAAATTGGGCATGGATCAATAGGGAATAAGGGGTGCAAGGAGGCAATGCGACGCATTATGGATAAGAAGAAACAGGGGATAAGGGACACAGGGGGCAAAAAAGGATGCAATTGGGTAAAGTGTTACCGGAGACAAAGTGCAAAAGGGCAAGAAGACGCAATGACAAGAGGGGGTTAGGGGGATGTAAGGAGAGGGTGGCAATGACAAGAGGGGGTTGTAAGGAGAGGGTGGCAATGACAAGAGGGGGAAAGGGGGTTGGAAGGAGAGAGGGGCAATGACAACAGGGGGTTAGGGGGATGTAAGGAGAGGGTGGCAATGACAAGAGGGGGAAAGGGGGTTGTAAGGAGAGGGTGGCAATGACAACAGGGGGTTAGGGGGATGTAAGGAGAGAGGGGCAATGACAAGAGGGGGTTAGGGGTTGTAAGGAGAGAGTGGCAATAACAAGAGGGGGTTAGGGGGATTTAAGGAGAGGGTGGCAATGACAAGAGGGGGTTGTAAGGAGAGGGTGGCAATGACAAGAGAGGGTTAGGGGGATGTAAGGAGAGGGTGGCAATAACAAGAGGGGGTGAGGGGGATGTAAGGAGAGGGTGGCAATGACAAGAGGGGGAAAGGGGGTTGGAAGGAGAGAGGGGCAATGACAACAGGGGGTTAGGGGGATGTAAGGAGAGAGGGGCAATGACAAGAGGGGGTTAGGGGTTGTAAGGAGAGAGTGGCAATAACAAGAGGGGGTTAGGGGGATTTAAGGAGAGGGTGGCAATAACAAGAGGGGGTTAGGGGGATTTAAGGAGAGGGTGGCAATAACAAGAGGGGGTGAGGGGGATGTAAGGAGAGAGTGGCAATGACAACAGGGGGTTAGGGGGATGTAAGGAGAGGATGGCAATGACAACAGGGGGTTAGGGGGATGTAAGGAGAGAGTGGCAATGACAAGAGGGGGTTAGGGGGATGTAAGGAGAGGATGGCAATGACAACAGGGGGTTAGGGGGATGTAAGGAGAGGGTGGCAATGACAAGAGGGGGAAAGGGGGTTGTAAGGAGAGAGTGGCAATGACAAGAGGGGGTAAGGGGGTTGTAAGGAGAGGGTGGCAATGACAAGAGGGGGTTAGGGGTTGTAAGGAGAGAGTGGCAATGACAACAGGGGGTTAGGGGGATGTAAGGAGAGGGTGGCAATGATTAAAGGGGGTTAGGGGGATGTAAGGAGAGACTGGCAATGACAAGAGGGGGTTAGGGGTTGTAAGGAGAGAGTGGCAATAGCAAGAGGGGGTTAGGGGGATGTAAGGAGAGGGTGCCCATGACAAGAGGGGGTTGTAAGGAGAGGGTGGCAATGACAAGAGAGGGTTAGGGGGATGTAAGGAGAGGGTGGCAATGATAAGAGGGGGTTAGGGGGATGTAAGGAGAGAGGGGCAATGACAAGAGGGGGTTAGGGGGATGTAAGGAGAGGGTGCCAATGACAAGAGGGGGTTGTAAGGAGAGGGTGGCAATGTCAAGAGGGGTAAGGGGGTTGTAAGGAGAGGTGGCAATGACAAGAGGGGGTTAGGGGGTTGTAAGGAGAGGGTGGCATTGACAAGAGTGAGTTAGGGGGATGTAAAGAGAGGGTGGCAATGACAGGAGTGGGTTAGGGGGATGTAAAGAGAGGGTGGCAATGACAAGAGGGGGTTAGGGGGATGTAAGGAGAGGTTGGCAATGACAAGAGGGGGTTAGGGGGTTGTAAGGAGAGGGTCCCGGCTAAGAAGCAATGGCAGGAGGGGGTTAGGGGGATGTAAGGAGAGGCTGCCGGCTAGATTTTATTCCTTAATAGAGGAAAACGCTTGCATACTGTGTATTGCACTGCATAATTCAGTCTGGACATTATTTTTTTGTCATTTTCACATGTCTAACAGTTCTGTCTGGTGGATAAACGAGCGCTTGTATGCTAATGTGTGAATTTTATGAATATACCTAATATATGACCACCAGCTTTTTCATCTCTGTTACATTGTACGTGTACTTCTCCTATTACAAGCTCCTTCAAGCATAAAATTTCGTTTATAAAATTGTCAAAGGAATTTATTTGTAACAAGAGTGATGCGTCAGACATTGTTGCTAGATAATAACGCCCATATGAGGTTTCGACGGCATGTTAATAGCGGGCCTAGTTCTGTTACCCTATATAACATAAGAACAACCAGGCTTGTTTACATATTCAAGGGATGTTAAATATCCTTACAACATTTTATCTTTGCTATGATCTTTGTTGTGATTTTAGTAATTATTATGTTCCATGCTACATGTAGGAAACCCTGTTAGTTGTCTTGTCGTGGTTTGATAGCTGCAGATACAGTCCCATTTTAATCTCGTCATGCGATTTAAGAAAATGTGTCACTCCCTGACAAATGACGCTTTTATCAGGTCCTGTCTTGATTGGTGCTATTATTGTAAGACCCTGTTTAGATTTATGCAAAACCCGCACCAAACAGCACAACATCGGTCAAATGAAGGAATTTTTATTTTTATTTTATATACGGTACAGCTGTAAAAGAAATGAGAAATGCTTACATCAGGAAGGCACTGTTAGGGTATCACATTTTCTTCTCTGAGTCAGTAAATGATCGAATCTCATTTTACATTGACGTCAGGTATTTTGTTAAAAAAAACCCACGGAAATTTAAAAGTAAACAAATACTTGCTGTGCATCAATTTGGTATATATAGGGCTATAAGGAATACGCGGTAACTGAGCGTTGTTAAAACTTGCCGGTTTTACTTACATAGTAATCAACAACATAAGAAGTATCCGAAAGCTGATCTTGAACAGTCCTTGAATTGTTTGGGTCATTTTAAAGTAAGAATTTGGTAATAAGTATTTTGATTTAATATTTTATGAAAACATCTCAAAATGAATTTGTTAAAAGGATGGAAAAATAAAACATTCCTGAAAAGGGATTTTGTATAATACTGTCGAAGTGTTATTTGGGTTAATCTTATACACATGCTATCATAGAGCCATAAGTCATATATCGTGCATTTGTTCTCGAGACAAATTGCAGGATTTAAATGTTGCACAACACCAAACATAGTCATAATCCTGTCCACCTATCTATCCTATCCACCTATCTATCCTATCCACCTATCTATCATATACACCTATCTATCCTATCAACCTATCTATCCTATCCACCTATTTATCCTATCCACCTATATATCCTATCCACCTATCTATCCTATCCACCTATTTATCCTATCCACCTACATATCCTATCGACCTATATATCATATCCACCTATCTATCCTATCGACCTATATATCATATCCACCTATCTATCCTATCCACCTATATATCCTATCCACCTATATATCCTATCCACCTATAGATCCTATCCACCTATCTATCCTATCCACCTATATATCCTCCGCCAACTGCAAACACAACACGATATACGGTGGACACATTAATACAAGCTCAGAATGTTCGCCGCACTTTAACTTTCGCTTCTTTCGCCCTAATGACGGCGAAATTGTCATGGCAGCAAATATTAGAACACATCATACCATAAAAAGGCATTACATGTTGAGGGCAAAATCAACACTGGGCCAGCGAAAATGAAATTAACCTGTGAAGGGCGAGTATTTGTCTTGGCGAAGTTTTCCAGGTTTACAGTACACGATATAGAGTAAATACAATCAATACCAGCTCACTGGTACCACGTGTTTGACTTGTCAAGTGTGGTCTTTTCGTATGGTTATTTAATGCCTGCAAGTACAATAGCTTTTTAGAGACCTGACCTACTGCATCCAACTGCATTTTTATATGAATAATTATGTAATGTCACCACCTGCTGTTCTGCCATCTAATATTGTGACCTCACAGCTGATCATGGCTCCACCATGTTGTAGATATCAAGGCAGATTACTAGGTGTGTCACACGCACTATGCGTATGTAGATTTATATTTTAATGTATAAGATTTACGAGTTTCCGACCCTGACTATTGAAAAATTGCTATTCATAAAAAATTATGACACGAATGTCTCTAGTGTTATTATTTGATGCGTAAGTGGAGCAGAACGTAACAGTCTTAATGTATGATTTTAGAAATAAACCCATATCAAGGAGAGGTCCTACCTTTTTGTACTTATATCCCCATTGTATTAGTACTGAGTGGCTCTTCTTTCTTGTTAGGTATCTCCTTCGATTGTAATGTAAATCAACAACCAAGTAAGAATTATGTTTGTATTGCTTCTATAAATGAACCTACCCCCCTACCTATCAATGAACCTGCCACTCTACCTATCAATGAACCTACCACCAATGAACCTACCACTCTACCTATCAATGACCCTACCACTCTACCTATCAATGAACCTACCACTCTACCTATCAATGAATCTACAACTCTACCTGTCAATGAACCTACCACTCTACCTATCAATGAACCTACCACTCTACTTGTCAATGAACCTATCACTTTACCTATCAATGAACCTCCCACCCTCCCTATCAATGAACCTACCACTCTACTTGTCAATGAACCTATCACTTTACCTATCAATGAACCTACCACCCTACCTATCAATGAACCTACCACTCTACCTGTCAATGAACCTACCACTCTACCTATTAATGAACCTACCACTCTACCTGTCAATGAACCTACCAC